TCAAGAGCAAGGGATATCTTTCCACCAGAGTGTTGTAATTTTCAGTGTAGAGGTCTTTTGCCTACTTCATCAGATTTGATTCGTAGATATTTCATTTTTTTAAGTTATTGTGAAAGGAATTGTTTCCCTAATTTCTCTTTCAGTGAGTCTGTTATTTGTGTAAAAGAAGGCTATTGATTTTTGAGTGTTGACCTTGTGTCCAGTAACTCTGCTGAAAATGTCAATCAAGTCTAGAAGTTTTTTGGCCTAGTTTTTTGGGTCATCTACGTAGAATATCATATGATCAGCAAATAGTGACAGTTTAACTTATTTTCTTTAACTTATTTATCTTTATTTCTTTCTCTTGTCTAATTGCTGTGGCTAATGTTTCTAGAACTATATTGAACAGGAGTGATGATAATGGATATCCCTTTTTTGTTCCTGATTTTGGTGTGAAGGTTTTCAATTTGACCATTTAGTATGATGTCGGCTGTTGGTTTTTCATAGATAACCTTTATCAGGTTGGGATAAAGGCCATCTATGGCAATTTTCTATAGGGTTTTTATCATGAATGGGTATTGAATTTTGTCAAATGCTGTTTTTGCATCTACTGAGATGATCATATGGTTTTATTTATTTGGTACTGGGGATCAAACTCAGGTCCTTGCGTTTGTGAGGCAGGCAGCAGAACCACTGAGCTAACTCCTCAGTGATCATATGTTTTTTGTCCTTGACTTGTTTGTATAGTGTATTACATTTACTGATTTACATATTTTGAGCCATCCTGGCATCCCTGGAGTAAATCTGACTTGGTCATGGTGTATGATCTTCTTGATGATCTTCTGTATTCTGTTTGCCAGGATCTCTTTGAGGATTTTTGCATCTAGTTTCATTAGGGAGATTGGCCTGTAGTTCTGCTGGGTCTTTCCCTGGTGTTTGAATCAAAGTAACACTTCCAGGAATGGATTTGGAAGTACTGCTTCTCTTTCAATGTCAATGATGAGTATAAAGAGAAGTGGCGATATTTCTTCTCTAACTGTCTTGTAGAATTCAGCAGTGAAACCATCAGGACCTGGGCTTTTCTTTGCTGGTAATGTTTTAATTACATTTTCAGTTTCACTGAATGTAAGTGGGGTGTTTAGACTTTTTATATCTTCTTCATTTACATGTATCTGGGAAGTTTGCATGTATCTGGGAATCTGTCCATTTCTTCTGTATTTTCCATTTTATTAGAGTACAGGTTTTTGAAGTAGGTAATGATGATCCTCCGGATTTCTGCTGGATCTGTTGGGACTTCGCCTTTTTCATTCCTAATTGCATGGATCTGAACCTTTTCTTTCCTTTTTTAAATAAAGGTTGGCTTAGAGTTAATAGGGTTTATTTTTAATTCTTTTGAAAAACCAACTCTGTAATTGGTTTATTTTTTTCTATCATTCTCTTAGTCTCCATTACATTAATTTCTGCTCTAATCTTTATAATTTCCTCCCTTGTGTGAGCTTTCAGTTTGACTTGATTTTTTTTCAGAGCTTAATGTTAAGCATAGGTTGTTTATTTGAGCTAGCTCTGTTTTCTTAATATGGGCATTTACTCCTATGAATTTCCCTCATAGAACTACTTTCATTGTGTCCCATAGATTCCTGTTTGTTGTACTGGCATTATCATTTAATTGTGGAAACTGTCTAATTTCTTCTTTAATTTCCTCTGTCACTCAGTGGTTGTTCAGCAAGGTGTTATTTAATTTCCATGTGTTTGTGACGTTCTTGCGGTTTCTTATGCTATTTATCTCCAGCTTAATTGCACTATGGTCTGATAATATACAGGGGATAACTTTATTTCCTTTGTATTTACTTAAGCATGTTCTATGAGCTAGCCTGTGGTCTATTTTGGAGAAAGACCCATGTGCAGCCGAAAAGAAGGTGTATTCTGATTTTGTGGGATGGAACTCTCTGTAGACATCTAGTAAGTCCATTTATTCAAAAGTTTAGTTCAGATCTGATATTTCTTTTTTTTTTTGTCATCTAGTTGATGTATTTGTGACAGTGGGGTATTGAGGTCCCCCACTACAATTGTATTAGTGCTTATTTCATTTTTCATATCAATTAATATTTGTTTTATATAGTTGGGGGCATTAGTATTTGGTGCATATATTGTCATTTCTTCCACTTGTATTGTTCCCTATACAAGGATGTAGTGGCCTTCTTTGTCTCTCTTAAGTAGTTTTGGTTTGAAATCTACTCTGTCTGCAAATAAGATAGCTACCCCTACTGTTTTCCAGGCTCCTGTCTCATGGGGAACTGTTTTTCATCTTTTATTCTCAGTCTATGAATTTCTTTGTGAATTAAGTGGGTTTCTTGTATATAGCATATTGTTAGATTTTGATTTTTAATTCATTCTGCCAGCCTATTTCTTTTCATTGGTGAATTGAGGCCAGTAACATTGATGGTTATAACTGTTATGTATTGACTTTTCTTTGTCATGTTATTTTCCTGTTGTTGGTTCTTTGATTTTTTTATTTTTCCCTCTCTCCCTTTAATTTCTTTCCTTGCCTGGTGTATTTGCTCTGTTGGCCCTTATGGAGTTTTGGCCTTCATTTTCTTTTTCCAGGATATTGTTTAGAAGTGTTTGGAGTGCCAGTTTGATGTTCATGAAATTTCTCAGGAATTTTTTGTGGATGTATCTTGTTTACCCATTACTTTTGAAAGATAGTTTTTCAGGATAAATCAGTCTAGGTTGGAGGTTGTTGATACCTCACTCCAGTCTCTCTTGGACTTGAGGGTTTTGGTTGAAAACTGTGCTGTGATTTTGATGGGCTTTCCTTTGCATGTGATTTGTTTCTTTTCTCTAACTGCTTGTAGTATTTTGTTCTTCTGTTGGATTTCTGGGATCTTGATTATTATATGTATAGGTATAGATTTTTCTGATCATGGCTATTTGGAGTCCTATATATCTCACTTATCAGTATGTCAAATTCTTTCCCTCTGGGAGGTTTTCTGTCATTAATTCTGTGAACAGTTTTTTTTAATGTCATTTGTACTTTCTCCCCTACTTCATAGATTCCTATCAGTCTTATAATTTTTTTCATCATCTAGGAGTAGTTGGATCAATTTCTCATGATCCCTTACTATTCTTAAGAGGTCTCTCTTTTCATGGTCACCGATGCAATCCTATCTTCTATATCTGAAATTCTATCTTTACATTTGTTCATTCTGATGTGAATGCTTTCTATAGAGTTTTTAATCTCCTGGATATCTGTTGAATCTGTTTCATGGATTCCATTTCTTTCCTATGTTGGGCAATCTTGGTTTTCATTTCTATGCTGGGCATTCATGATTTCTATCATGGTCCTGAGCTCGTTTGTTTTTCTTAATCTGTTTCTTTTCTAGAGTCTCTCATCATGTCTTTTATTCTTCTCACCATCTCTGTGGCTATCTGGGAAATTATTTATGTTTTGAATTTTTCTAAAGACTCATTTATCTTTTTTGTTACTTCCTGTGCTAGCACTTCAGGGTGTCCAAGTGGTTGACTGTCAGACTTTTCCCTCATTTCCCCTAGAGTTTACTTTTGATGAGGTGGATGTCTGTATTTGTGCCTTGTTTAAGTGTCTTCTCATTTCTATTTTGGTTGTTGGTACTGTCTTTGGTTTAATTCCTAGGTTAATACTTTGATTTTCCAAATATAGCTGGTCTTTAAGTTTTGAGTCTCTAATGACTGAGGCATTGTCATTTTTATTATACTAGGAAGGACAACTGATTAGATCAATCATTATACCTTAGCCCAAGTGATACAATCAGCAACACAGTAGCATCAAGCACAGCTTAGAAAATGATAATTTGTGGTAGTTATTAATCTATCAACTTTTTCTGTGTGAATTAAATCAAAGTCAAGGACCAGCCCAAAATATGTTTATAGTAAATAAACTCTTCAATATAGCAACTTTACCCTTCATGATGGGGATTTAGAAGGAGTTGAGGGTGTGGGAGGGATAGACTGATAGGATAGAGAAAGATTATAAGTGAGGTCAGAGGACACAGGAAGATCACACAAACTCTAGGAAATTGTTGAAGAAAAGAGAAGACAGAACAAAACATACACAGAACCTAACAGCAACAAGGAGGCTAGAGACTGTAATAACTTTCTTTTAAAACTAATGGCAATTGAGAAAAGGAAAAAGAAAAAAAGAAAATAAATTTTAAGTAGGATAGGAACAGGAACAAAAGAAGAGAAATGAAGATCAAGGTGAGAGGGGGGGATAAGAAAAAGAAGATAAAGGAAAGAAATTTGAGAAAAGAAAAAGAAAAATTTTAAAAATGATATAAGAGAAAAACATTACTTTGAAAATAAAAAATACAAATAGAGGGCCTCCTTCAGGGTATGACTCTAGCTACCCTGTTGACACAATACCATGGGCAGGAGTGTGCAGATCTAAATTAATTAGTCTCAGCAAGCCAGAAGCTGTCCCCTGAGGTTCAGGCTGATTTCTGGCTTCAAGTCCCAAATTGAGAACTCTGACCTCCTGCTTGGTTGAACTCTGAAAGGTTTTATAGCAGGTTCCAGCTGTCTTTTCCCAGACCAGGTTCTGAAAGTGAGTCGCTGGTCCCTCTGACTTTCCAAGTATGGTGGTGTGGTGTGCCTTTATGGTAGAGATTTTCTTAACTTTTCCAGCAGGCTTCAGTTTTCATCTAGGAGCCACAGTGGGCTTCTTTCTCTTGTTCATGTAGGGCTGGGGGGTGGGGAGTTAGGGACACCACTGTGTTGGCACCCCTTGTTGCTGGGCTTCTCTGCTGCACCAAAGGGGTGGGTCTGCCAGAGGGTCTTGTGCTGCTTCTGGGCTTCTCCGTTGCTCCTTGGTGAAGAGGCAGGACCAGCAGAGGGTAGCAAGCTGCTGCTGGGCTCCTCTGCTGTGCTGTGCTAAAGTGCTCAAATATTTTTATAATATCTCCATCTGCAGCTTGAAAATTGCTTCTTCTTTCTATACTTTTCTCCTCTCCCCAGTATCTGTTAACATCCTGATTTTATTTCAGCCCAGAGGTACTGAAGAGTGAGCCCTATGGGGAGAAGGCTGATGTCTGGGCTGCAGGCTGCATCCTTTATCAGATGGCAACCCTGAGGCCTCCCTTCTACAGCACCAACATGCTTTCCCTGGCTACAAAAGTAAGCATGACAGGGGACAAAAGGGTCTTGTGTTGCTAACAACACTATTCCTTTTCTTCCTAGCAGAACCTTTGTGATTTTTATACAACTTCCAATTAAAAGCAGGTATTGTTTTATGAAGTGCAAGGCCCGGTTTGCTTTCCCCCCGTATAAATATATATCATGTAGTATGGCATATTCCTCTGTCTAATTGTATTAGTTTATCATAGAAAATTTGAGAAATGAAAATATCAAAATGCTTTTGACCTTTTATTTTTAATTGCAATTTAGATTGCCTGTAGCCAACATATTATATCACGCCATACTCCATTTTTCATTTTATTATAAATCTGTTTAATTTTAACTGAGCTTAGAGAATCTAATTCCGTGTTCCAGAACTATTTAACTGATGTTACACTTTTATTTATTTGCAGTACTTTTATTTGTGATTAAATTTTGTGCATGGAGCTATATTGCTTCATTAGTAACTTCCTGAGCATGTAAGTGTTACCTTGGAGAGATAGCAAGGGCCTTTTTACTCCCATCACTCTAGTCTGTTTGTTTTGCAGATCGTGGAAGCGGTATATGAACCATTGCCAGAAGGTATTTACTCTAAGAAAGTGACAAGCACCATCAGCAGGTAACTAGTCTCATGACTCTCAACATATACAGATCACCAAGAAATATCTGGTGATATCTGACACTTCTGGAGGGGAGGCAGAAGGATTACAAATTCAAGCCCAGCATGGGCAACTTAGTGAGAACCTGTCTTAAAAAAAAAGGGGCTGGGGATATAGCCCATTGTGAAAGCCCTGGGTTCATTCCCCAATTTTCCTCTCTCCCAAAATAAATACCTGCAGGGCCAGGGATTTAGCTCAGCAGTTCGGTGGCCTGCCTTGCAAGCGCAAGGACCCAAGTTCAATCCCCGGTACAAAAAAAAAAAAA